GAGGTAAGTAAATTTATGGTAATGCCCGTACTATTTTAAAAGCATGTTTGATTTGTTTTTGAAGTGGTGTCGGGACTAAACCCATTTTACACAAGTATGACTGATTTGAAGTGAAATGTTTTATGCTTTTCACTAAATTGAGCATGCCTACTTGAAATTTAAGTGATTTTCCTGATGATCTGAAAGTGACTTGAAACTGATTGTGAATTGTGATTTTCCTGTTAACTTCTGCCTGTTTTGTCTCCGATGTGGTCATGTTATTCGTGACCCTGCTAGTGGGGGAGGTTATAAACGCTAGCACATGTCGACATGTAGTGATAGAGCTGGTTCGTTCAACCCAGCTAGTGGGGGTTATACACTAGCAAATCATGGCCCTGCTAGTGGGGATTATACACTGGCCGTGACCTATAGAGGAGACGTCTATTTCGTGCCCGTATTGTATCTGTTTTCGTGATTGTACTTGTTGGCATGCTTTAAGTTTGATAAGGGGCACTCCATATTTACTTACTGAGTTTATCTCATAGTTTTTCCTTGTCCACCATTTCAGGATGTGAAATCGAGGATGAGGAAACTACGGGAAGTGACGAGTTAGAAGGCTAGCCATATTGTAATTGAACATAGATTTTATAATTTGATCTTCAGATTTTGATGGTATCAGAGTATGATATGATTAAGTTCCGAGCCTTGTGCATTTGTGGGACTCGTCTCACAAGTGCACGGTGTCTGTCGCGCCTTGAATTTGGGTTTTGGGGCGTGACAGATTTTGTGGTATCAGAGCTTAGGTTTGATTAAGATTTAGTGGTATCAGAGCTTAGGTTAAATTAGATATTTGGAGATTTAGTGATATCAGAGCTTAGGTTAAAATTAAGAGCTTAGGTTGAAATTAAGAGCTTAGGATTAAACTAAGCACCTCCAGATTGAGTGGCATCAGAGCAGATTGAGTGATATCCGAGCCTAGGTTTAATTGAATACCTAGGATTTGTTTTGGACTTGGCTAGCCAGTGGATTGTAGAATTGTGGTGAGATAAGTGATGGGGTTATATAAGGGACGATTCTTATTCATGTTGCCTGAATTTTCTCATCCATTTCGATGAGATGGTGATCTGATTGTTCTTGTTTCTTGCCTTCATACTCTGTGTGAAGTTGTGAAAGTAATCTTGCCCGTTATGTCCTGAAGACCTTGTTTTGAAACTTGGTAATTTTTTGATAGTCCGCACTTGTTTAGGCTTGTTACGTGAATAGAATTTTTGTGTGCTCTTTTGCCACAATTGTGAAATCTAGGGAGTTGCAGAGACTTTTGTTATTGATCCTGTTAGTCTCTACAGCATAGTTGGTGGAGAATTTGTTTTGTTTGTCACATGACCAGTGGAGGATGGGCAACCCTCTACCTTGTAAGAGATTCAAGGCTATTTTAGCAAAAGTTGTGTGTTTTCTAGCTGTGTTTTAGGAGATGGATTACTTGGTAATTCCGTTGCTCCTTATCTTCTGAAAGTCTTATAGTGAAGTTTCACTTTTTCCATTTGAAGCTTCATGGTCTTTTCATGTGGCTCATTTTTCTGTATTGGTTAATCAAGAGCAGTGATTATTCAATTGAAATTGCCATGTTTTGTGAAGATTGGCAAACTGTCATAAAGTTAAACTCTATTGTTGCCAGTCTCTACATTCTTGATACCTAGAACTGCTTGAAACTCTTGAAATCCATCTTGAATCTTTCTTGATATTGCTTTGTACTTGTTCTTGAAACTGAAATCTAGAAATGGATAATGATTATTGAAATCCTCATTATCTAGATACTTGTTTGAAATTAATTCTTGCATTGTTCTTGGAATCTAGTTTGAGTTGTCCTTGAAAACGTTCTTGTTCTGACATTGGTTCTTGCTCAAATTCTGTATATTGCTCTTGCTCAAATCTTGCATATTCTGCTCGTTCTTGTTTCTGTATACTTCTTGATCTTCTTGATTTTTGATTTTTGTTCATATGGACACCTCTTTAGGAGGGGTGATGATTATTAGGGAATACCTATATGAGGCATCCTAATTCTTGTCTCTTGCAAGTGTTAGTCTCTATATTCTTGACGTCCTAGCTTTGACTTGACTCTAAGATGTCTAGGATGACTTGATTGTAAACCTACTTAGCCTCCATGAGCTACGAGGTAAAGGGGTAGTCCTTGAAATACTTGATGCCCTAGAGTTTTGTTCCAAGAGAAATGGTTCTTTGTCTGGCTGCCTTGATTTTTGTTTGCCCTTTTAATTAGAAGACAGTAATCTTCTCAGCATCTTGATCCCAGCCATTGCTTTGTTCTGTTAATTAATTCTAGTACTTGAGGTGCTAGTTCTTGACATCCTGATTGTAATTACTCTTGAATTCGTGTTCTGTTTGTCATTATTGAAATCTCTTTTGTGGGCCTAATCCTTGAATTCTATTGTTTGTTTCATGGTTAACTCTTGTCTCTCAATTTTGACTACTTGGTTAAATGTGATCTTGATTCTTGGTGAATGCCGTTTTGTTGCCAAATTTGTGAGGCATTCTACCTTGCACTCTTGTGTTCCAGTATTCTTCCAAGCATTCATATTTTCCATTGATTTTATTCTGTTGCAGTTCTTGAGATTCTTACATGTCTTTTGATGGGTCCAGCTTTTAACTCTTGTTAATTGCTAAAATTTGTCTCTTGATTCCAATTGCTTTGTTAAACATGACCTTGTTTATTGGTTAACTTTGTTTTGTGGCATAATTTATAAGGCATCCATGTACTTGTTCATTCATTCATGATTCGTACATCCATTGGATGCTTATCCGTCTTTGATAAGAGTTCAAAATTTTGTTGTACTTGTCTTTAAATCCATGCCATTCTTTGTCAACTTGTCTTGTGATGGGTTCGAAGCGTAACCCCACAATTGTTCTTTTGTGGCTTTGGCAGGATTTATTTTTATTCGTTGTGCTTCCTATATCACCCCATCCTCCAGTAGCTTGTTTCATGGTAAATCCTGTTAAGTGATTAATGTTCTACTTTTAGGATTCGTTGTGGTTTGTTATCAGAGTGGCGCAGCGGAAGCGTAGTAGGCCATGTCTGTTCATAGAAAGTGAGTGGGACATTTGTTTTGTCTTGGATTGTGTGAAGCCATTCACCACTTGATATGGTCCTCAATTTGAGTTTTGGGGACAAAACTACTTTTTAGGAGGGGTGAGTGTAATATCCCAAATTTTCGGGAATATTTAAGTGTAAGTTAGGGACTTGATTGTGAGAAAAGATTGTTTTGGGGCCTAATGTGAATATTTTAAAAGTTGAGGGACTTAAAGAGGGAAAGATTTTGGATAAGGATGACTTCTTTTCTTTTTCTTTTTCTTTCTTTCTTTTCTTTCCAGCCTTGCCCGATTCTGCTCTTCTTCTCCTTTCTTCCCGCTGCAGCCACTCGAAAGAAAAAAAAAGGGGAACCCAGCCATGCCTTTGAGAAACCGGTGAGATAAGCTTGGTTTTCTCCTTCCTTTCTTGCTCTAGAACACACCTAGAACCCAGAAATCTTCCCCCCTGCTGGAAAAGCCGGATCTGCCCTGCTCTGCTTTGTCCTTCTACCGGCTGCTCTTGATTGTGGGTGATTTCTAGGCATTTTTTTCGGTAAGAACAGCCCCTAATTCCTTTGTTCTTGCTTGAATTGGCTTGGGTTAACTTTGATTGCTCTTATTTCCTTCAATTTTGGGTAGTTCCTGTGAGCTTCCCCTGCACTTGTCGCCGGCTTCTCCCCTTGCCAAGTCCGGTTCTGCAACTGGAAAATTTATGGTAGGTTGGCTTCTCTAATTCTCGAAAATTGGTTGATTAGTGGCTGCCTTGTGATGTCTGAATTTGGCTAGAAAATGGGGATGAAATTGATAGTAATTAGACCATGATTTAGCTTGATTCAAGTGATTTATGTGATTGAGTGTTAATTGATTGCTGTGATTTTTGGAGTGAAATCCCGTGAGATTAGCTAGTGTTTTGGCCAATTTTGGAAGTAGAGTTACTGTTCACGTTGGGGTCATTGTTCACCGGCATTGTTCACCGGTTACTGTTCACACCCCGAGGGCCAATAATTAACGGGGATTTAAGTGATTAGTTTGTGATATAAGAACGAATTTGGAGATATTTGATCATGTGTAGATTTATGGAAATAGCATTGTGATTAGGAATGATCCTAATGAAATGTTCAGTGTGAATTTGTGATAGTCTGGTATTAATTCTGAGGTGTTTTGATTAGGTTCCCGATCGTTTTGTCAGTTAGTGCGTGAATTGAGTGCTCGGTTTTATACGAGTGAGGTAAGTAAATTTATGGTAATGCTCGTACTATTTTAAAAGCATGTTTGATTTGTTTTTGAAGTGGTGGTGGGATTAAACCCGTTTTACACAAGTATGACTGATTTGAAGTGAAATGTTTTATGCTTTTCACTAAATTGAGCATGCCTACTTGAAATTTAAGTGATTGTCCTGATGATTTGAAAGTGACTTGAAAGTGATTGTGAATTGTGATTTTCCTGTTAACTTCTGCCTGTTTTGTCTCCGATGTGGTCATGTTATTCGTGACCCTGCTAGTGGGGGAGGTTATAAACGCTAGCACATGTCGACATGTAGTGATAGAGCCGGTTCGTTCAACCCAGCTAGTGGGGGTTATACACCAGCAAATTGTGGCCCTGCTAGTGGGGATTATACACTGGCCGTGACCTATAGAGGATACGTCTATTTCGTGCCCGTACTGTATCTGTTTTCGTGATTGTACTTGTTGGCATGCTTTAAGTTTGATAAGGGGCACTTTATATTTACTTACTGAGTTTATCTCATAGTTTTTCCTTGTCCACCATTTCAGGATGTGAAATCGAGGACGAGGAAACCACGGGAAGTGACGAGTTAGAAGGCTAGCCATATTGTAATTGAACATAGATTTTATAATTTGATCTTCAGATTTTGATGGTATCAGAGTATGATAT